AATTTAAGAGATGGCGTATTTCTGTTGGCTAGGGTATAGGATAAAGTAAGTCCTGAAGAACAAAATATTTTTTCACCCAGACCTTGATGAGTCAAAGTGTGGTTGGGATCCCGAAACCGCTAGTAAATTAGAAATATGCTACAGAATATTGCTACTGAAAGTAAACAGAGGATCAACGAGCGATGATGACCACTTACCGCTGTACAGCGAGAGTGGCAGTGAAGAGGGGCACGAGGAAAGTATTAGAATAAATCTAAAAATTAAACATGAGGAAGCTATTCGCTGCATTGGTACATGCATACAGCGGGCAGAAGAAAACGGTGCTGAACTGAATGTTTTGTCCATCTTACGAACCATGAGCCTCTTACATGACGATATCTATGAGGAGGAAAAGGCAAAACGTTTTGCTTCTCTATCAGGACAATGTGTGAATATGTCCATTGACGGGTGATCAAACGTCTACAATGAGCCAGTTATGGTCTGTTCATAGATATAAGAAAGTGACCAATTGCTTTTGAATGGGGTTATCCAAGGGTGGTCATTAACATACAATGCAACAAGATTATTACCTAAAGTTTCGGAATTTAAATTCAGGTAAAATTGTGGGCCGTAATAGGAAATAAGTTTATACCTACCTGTGTTTAATATTCTTTGATTTGGTATACTACTTAGTTTAAGTTTATTAGTAACCATTCTTATTTCGTGTGTAATACAGCGTGTGCGAATTATGCAAAATATGTGCGAGTCTAGTGTATCTCAGGAGATGCTCCCATCCAAATGTAGAAAACACTATTCTATTGAGACTAAAGAAGTTATAAACAATGTTTATTTGACTCTTATTGAACGTGGTGCCAGCAAGCAAGCATATTTAGAAGAAACGGCTACATTGACGAAAATTGTGAATAATCCCATTTCGGCGAGGAAAAAAAGAAGCGATGCTGACATTTTCTCGAGTGTAGATGAACGTGATCAAGATATAATACGGCGTAAAATTTACCAGTTATACGAGGAACAAAGTGCGCCTACATTAGATATCTTAATTAAGAGGCTTGAAAAAGATGAAACCGGTGTTAAATGTGGCAGAACTACCTTATGGAAGTGTATTCAATCCATGGGTTTTAGATTTAAAAAAATTGACAAAAGGCAACTTTTAGAATTCGGAAATGGCGACTGGAATATCTAGAAAAAAATAGGATTTACAGAGAACAACAAAGACCAATTATTTACTTGGATCAAATCTGGTCCGACACTTATGATACCCCGAAAAAGGTTTGGGTTGACTCAACTGATACGTGTAAAACAAACACGCCATGCTGGCTCTAAAGATGGTTGCTGTCTGCGAAAAATATTGAAGATTCTTCTCTGGATTGCCATGAAGACATCACCGCTGATTTATTTGAAAGTTGGTTTAAAAACAAACTAGTTCCAAACATTCCTCCTAATAGCGTCATTGTAATGGACAATGCAAGTTATCACAGTAGACAGTTGACTAAAACCCCTTCCTCATGTGACACAAAAGTAACAATCCAAAACTACATGTATAATAACGACATTTATTTTCACGAAGATTATACCAAAAAGCAATTAATTGAGGTTCTACAAAGCTTGAACCTACAAAAGGAATATGTCTATGATAATTATGCAAAAAATCTAGGGCATATAGTTTTAAGGCTTCCACCTTACCACTGTATATTTAATCCCATTGAACATGTTTGGCACCAACTGAAAACTGCCATTCGTCGTAACAATGTTTTTCCCCGTGTTAACTCCAATATAGAAACCACAAAGCTGGGCAAATTCTGTTAAACATATAGAAAAAGCAGAACAATCGTATATCCATATTGCAAATAATATAGAACAAATAATAATTAGAAAAGGCGATGATAGCGATAGCGATACTGATATATTATGTGAATCATTTTAAGTCATTTAAGTAGGTACTAAAAATAATTTGTAATTTTATTTTAGATTTAAAAATAAATATAATTAAATAAATACTGTTTAGTATCTTTCCTAACAAAACCCCAAATAATTAAATTCTAAGCAAAGTTAGGACCTGTTCGGCCATATTTCATTCCTACCCGGGTCTTTCCTTAATTCGTATCAGTTAGTCACTTTCTTATATCTATGAACAGACTTTACATGTGCAACAATAACAACTGAAGATGGACGAGCGCTCCTTTGCGCAACTATTGATACTTTGGGAAAATCTCATACTTCACAACATTAGTCTGAGAAAAAGTTTGGAGAAAAAGACGGACTCAAAATTTATAACCTATAGCTGCTCTGTACATATTTTGAATTTACTACGGATACTTACAAGTACCAGACGTCAAAGAATATGTCGTCCAAATTGGTAAGTATTTTCGCGACAACCATCTAGCTAGAGCAAACGTCAGTCAAGCAGGAGACAATTCCAAGTCATTCCAAGTGATGTGCGATGGAATAGCGTCGCTGATTATTTAAAGATGTACGTTTGATGTATGTACGTTTATGTGTGGTATATTATTAACACTATGTGAAGAAAACAAAGAAAAAAGATGCACTTAAAGCCAATACCAGTTGCCATTGATATTTTGCAGAGAAAAAACGCTACTATCTCAGATGCTGTAGAGTGGAAATGTATGTGGAAATATTTATAATATATCTTCGAGAATGTTGTAGAATTACCTTTATCAAAAATAGAAAAAATTCAGGATCGATATAAGCAGGCACTCCCGCCATATCATTTTATAGCCTATATGTTGAACCCTCAAAATAAAGAAAAGAATCTGACGTTACAAACAATTAATCATTTATATGGAACCAGGGGATTCTTGCCATTAGTAAAGTTGAATGCCCATTTAAAAAAATATATTTTCGGATGAAATAAGAAACTTAAATGGAATAGTGGTGGACATTACAAAAGGACGAGCCAGAAATTGAGAAACAGTCACCAATAATAACTGTGCGCAACTGCTTCCTCACCGACAGTAAAACGACTTTTCAGCCCTTTTGGTTAGTTTGTACACTCAGATATAAGGAACAGGATGGGCATAAACGGGGGGAAAATTATTACTATTCAACTGTACAACGAAAATGCAGAAGCATAAGGTGTGTGTTACTATTTTATTTTAGTTTTGCTTCACTTTTTATTTGTGATAATATTTTTAAGTTGTGTTTTTAAATAAAAAAAAAATAAGTGATAAATTTTAATGTGGTTCCGTGTTATACGATGGGTAATAAAACATGATCTTCAAATTAGGATACTTCTAAACAGAAATTATGTTTAAAATAGATTTTTAAATACTTGAATGAACCCGCGCACGTTGATATCGCAGAATTTTGTTTTATCGACATCCCAAAACTCGGCCTCCCATCTAGTTCCCCAGACTCCCGCATGGCGGCACTATTTCCGTGTTACCAACTTTATATACAAAGTTTGCACTTCGTAATTTTTTTTTCTATATTTATACGTCAGTGCGACGAGAAAGGGTATATTCTAAAGCGAGTCGAACGATAGGCGGTTGACGACGGCCGCGGCATCTTCTTGTCGGCTTTGCAGCCTGCCACTATCAATTTCCGCAACGAATGACGTATATAGAACCGCAAATGAACGTCCCGTTGTAATATTCGTCACCCAGTCCGCCAATTCCCCCCCGCCCCGTTTTCGCGGTACCGCGTCAAAAGCGTCCCCGATATTCAAAACCAGATACGAGACAGGACAAAGCCTATTGTATCGCCTGCCACCCAAACGTAACCAAACAAATCATTATCTAATAATCTTGACAGCGCGTATATGCGTGTCAATTTATGCAACTACCTATGTACGGTCCGCGGCGGAATTGTTTAAAAAAATACGTCAAAATCGGTTTTTCCTCCAGTTATCGAACAAAAACATAACCAAAACTATGACTTTCTGGTGGGAACAGTACATTTTCCTACTCCATTTCTCTCAGATAACGGTCAAAAGCCATTAGGTACGGAATTATCATATTTCAGCTACGATAAGTGGTTTAAAATCTCATCTGAATTCGACTAGAAAAAAGTCCTGTTTGAACCAGAAAATGATGTTTTAAGGTAATATCTGCTGGTTATTGATGTTTTCATTATAATAATTGGCGGAACAACTGATACTGACTGAAATCTGAGAGAACAATGATGAATAAATAATGTTTTTTTATTACCCGGTTTTACTTGGACTGAAATCGTTGTTATTTGCGAAATCAGTGAAATTTTGTTAGTCTTGAGCACTCGACATTAAAAATTATCTTTGAATAATAAAAAAATACTTTAAAAATCCAATATGTACTTAAATAACTATTTTTACGTTACTTGTATTTTGACAATAACAGTTGGTAACTACAAGAGCGCTAAATAAGCAATAAGTGTTATAAAATTAAACGAACTTTATGGGTCAGTTGTTTCATTTGTCACATTTTTATTAGTAAAAGAAGAACACTCTTCTTTAATCATTTTTTAATTATAATTAAACCTGTTAATATGGCATTTCAGATAAAACAAAATAATTAAAGTTGGCGAGAGAGAAAAAAAATAGTTTTTCTGCTTATTTTTAGGTGTTTCTTTTTAATTACGAGTTACGGTTGCATGAAATATGGTAAAAGACTGTGCGATGGTGATTTGCCCCTCGGATTAATATCAACTAAGGAATCTTATAGGATCCTGCAACAGGGTTTGGTGATTTAAATAAATAAGCTTTTCGTGAATTTAATTTTTAAGACTTTGACCTAATTAAGTCAGCACAAAATTAATTTTTAATAATGCAGTAATGTATAATATTTTTAATGATCCACATTTTTCTATATTTCCAGCCACACATCACATTACGTACAAATAGAAGCAAGCAACTTGCTAATCTAATAAAAGTTATTTTTAAGTTCGTCGCTTTTATTTTTCAAATGTCCAAGTAAACGTCGAAAGAACTACACTCTTATCAAATTTATTATTACATTCCCTGGGCACGACACACCTTTACATTTTAAGAAATGAAAAAAACTCACCCTGATGGCATTCTTGAGGGTTTCAGCTTCCTGTCTCAAAGTGTCCAGTTCGTTCATGCTGGTTACCACACTTTACGCACACCTGCAAAATTCAACAATTTTCAAAAGTCTAATAATTCACCCCATTGTAATAACCTTTATTTTTTTATTTGTCGAAACCTTCCCCGTAAAATTCCAACTTTAAATATACTTTCTTTCTGATTAGAAAATTATTACGACCTACGGCGTACCTGTAGCGCTAGGGAGCGCAATCTAGACTGCAGTTTTGTTAGTTAATCGCGGCGGATTTTCCTTAGTGAAAACCTAACAAAGTCGAAATTCGAGAATATTAAATATTTAGACCTTCTTTGCCTATACCGGCCGTTTGTTTCGATGGGATTTTTTTTCAAGCTGTTTACGATCACAAAAAAGTCAACCAAACCATGACCGAGGAAACGGCACGTTCCAGCACGGGTACGATGTTTACCAACTTGGTAATTCCTTATTTTCAATTCCCAAGCCATTTATTTTATTTTCGGTACAAATCAATCAAAGCTAATGAATTCTAAAATTATATTTTTCGGTTTTCAAGGTGCGCAAATATTTTTCGCTTCGACTGCGTTCTTATTTTTTGTTCGACGAAAATATGACGACCACCGAATCGGCTATAATCTTATTCTATATAAAGCTCGATATGTAACGAAAGTTTTGATTGATTATATATTGCGAAGATTCAACTCGCTGCCTTTTAACCGATTATTTTATAAACGATGATGTTATCATAAGAAAAAACGAAAAAATATCGGGATTATAAATAATTTTTTTTTTTCGGCAGAATCGTTACTCGAATCAGATACTGTCAAGATTAGTAATCAATTGAAAATAAGACACCTCGAAATCAGTAAATAATTAAAAACAATATTTCAATCATTAGATACAACAATTCTATCCGTAAGGATGTGAAAAATAAAGTAGACATTTAAATCGGACGTGCTAGTGTGGGGAGATAAATTGAGATTTTCTTTTTGAGACACACCTACATGGAACAACAAATATATAAACATTGCAATAGGTCATGGCCCCCACACCACCTCACGTTTAAAGTAAATTTTGTGCTTTGCATTAATCCACTCGTATATTTGGCGAGCAAGGGCCAGAACCGTGCGCGATTTCCGAAAAGAATAAAATAAATTGACAGCACCAAAGGCGCCATGACAGTGAAGTACACCTGCTAGGAATCGGCGCTTCGATTTTCTAGCGTTTCCACAACCTACCCGGCGAATTTATTAATTTACCCGAAAACGCACATACCGGCCGAATACACAATCATACTTTATGCTTACCTTTTTCCTACTTCTCAACGGGGCAATCTCCGAATTTCCTAAACACTATCCAACAGTTCCAACTGAATCACGAATACATGGGTTTAAATACATGCAGTTTTTCGAGGCAAACAGTTCTATTCATGTATAGTTTTAGACGTACCGGCTCATAAGGAAACTTGCACTCGACTGGCACCGATTTCCCACGCCGAAAAATTGTTTTTCTCGATTTTTTTTCGCACTATCACAATTTTACTCGCTGGGTGCGGCGGTTAGCCCCGGTGCCTCTCCTTTCCGTAACGATTATGGACTAGGCAACTGTGACGTCAGTGACGCCATTTTGGTCAGTCTACATCTATCGACCACTAACACAAGCATGACAACATCCTTACCGACAATAGATCGCTAGATGCCGTGTTTACGAACGTGTCCCATAGATGACGCAGTATTTCTCAACTATGATCGTAATGGAGAATTTTCATTTTCAGAAAAATCTTTTCCTAGCTTCAAACGAAAATCGTTTGCTCATAAAAAAAAGTGCATAAAACAAAAAATATAACTGTCTAGTGTTCGCAACACCGAGTGGTCGGAAAGCCAAGTGTCGTTATTACTATTGTGTTTTTGGGAATCCCCAGAGAGCACAATCTATTTCTCGCTGTGGGAGTTCATTGTTTGATTGTGATTGTGAAAACTACCGGGTGTAAATAAGTACCAGAAGTCGAAGACATCGATTTGCAAAATATGGTATGTAAAACTATCAGTTAAGTGGATCAAAAGTTTTGTTTATTCGTTCTTCTTAACATGCGCCGCAATTTCAATAAAAATGCATTCGTTGTAAATAACTTTTATTTTTTTTCCGTGCCACGAACGGTAGCATCGAACGAAAGAATATATCCAATATAATCGATCTTGTAAAAATAAAACCACTTAATTACTTAGCAGCTATATCGCAGATTTGCTTGTATCACTAATATGGTATTAAATTTAAATTAAATTATTGCTAAAAGTTTAGTTAATTATTATGCTAACCTAATTCGATCGCGTTTTATACCACATACACACTTCATAGTTAATGTTTGGTTTGCACAGAGAATAAATATATTTATTCAAACTTTTTACATCTTACAGAGGTCAATTAAACCAAACTCGGTTGACAAAGGCAACTTCATAAATAAGGGTTTGTATCGAAATACATGAATGTTAATTGATGTATATTGCATGTAGAAAAATAAATATATCATAACATTTGATATCTTAATATTTATAAAAACGTCAAATATGTCAAACACATATACATAGAAGGCTGTGAAAAACAAAATTTTTTGAGCATTGACAAAGTATTGATATTTGAGTCTTGCAGTTTAATTTGATATTTCGTATTTTATAAATGTTGGCACGTGTCGGTGATGTCCTTATAGGCTGCTAAGGTAAGTGTCAAAGAATTAGTTTCAATTTGTTTAGGAGAAAAAAACTAACAGACTAACCCAAAGTACCAACATATTTTTTAATTTTGAAATTCCTCTTTTCTTGCTTTGCTTTGTTACGATTTTTTGCGATAAAGGGTGTCTTGATGGCTTTTATTGAGCTCTGTATGCAAAAAGGATCTACAAAGTGTGTCACTGTTTTTACATTATTTAAAAAATATGTGAGAAAAAAGCATGTATCTGTCAAAAATGATAGAGGGCGATGGTCACTTAAGAGAAGTAAGCGTTCTGAAAGTAATAATCACAGAGATGATTTTTTTCTAAATAAAACTCGGTAAGAAAAAACGCTGAAAATTATTTGGAGTGTAAAACGTCCGATAGAGGGCGTAACAACTAACACCAACTAGAAAAAGAGTCTTTTTAGATTTTTGCTTGTTGAAGATATATCAATGCTATACATTTTTAATTTACTAAATTTCCCTATACTTTTTGACTATAGCATTGTTTTTCTATTAATTAAAATAATGTTTAAACAAAAGTTTCTCTGGTGTTGCTTGACCGATTTTAACAAACCTGGGCTCTTATGAAAGAGCATAATTTTTAATAGAAAATGCTCTTTTGGTTTTGAATTATTCAATTTCACGGCTATAGGTAGATGACACTGACTAAAATGGCGGCACTTATTTGAGTCTTTTATAAAAAACAAATGCCATGGAATATTAATTTTTACATAATTCACAATAGAGAGCTGAAACTTTTGCCTTTTTCCTCAAAAAGAAAGAAAGGTACGAAAAAGATCAACAGACAACGAACTTGTATGTTAATTGCGTTGTGTTACACCCTGTATATTGCATTTGAGGTTAGATTAAAGAAATATTAAATATTAATATGTAATTATCGTACATAAGATATGCCTGTATATATCTCATTTGCCTATCAGTTGAAGATAAAAATATTTAGTTTTAAACAAAAAAGCAAAATAATATATAAATGAAATAATAAAATAAAACTGTCGTATACTACATTCAGCTGTCAAGAATTTGGACATTTTGCCAAACTGCAGAGCATCACGAAGTTATTTGGTTAAATTATCCTCAGTGTAAATGTATAAAAAATATATTGTCACACCCTTACTTTGACGTTGTTATTGCCACCCTCCAAATCCTTCTTCTGCTCTTCGTTCAGCGCCATCTGGTGTCCGTCCGCGCCGTGTCCGATATAGACGAACCTAACCTTAAAATAGTTCGTAATGTCGGTAAGTTTTAGGCCGAAAGTTTCAGGCATAAAGATGTAGGCGTAGGCGGCTCCGCCCACACAAATCACCGCGAAGAACCATTGTAGATGACTGGCGCCGCCGAAGAAGGCGCTCATGCTGTAATAACTCTGCAACGCCGCGAACATCAGCACGCAACAGAGGCTGTAACTGACGCTGTATCCGATTCCTCTGATTTCCAGCGGAAACAGCTCCGCCATGAGCATGTTCGGGATGGGCAAGAGGCCCACCGTAGACGCCACTACGTAGAACAACAGCGCCGCCACCGGGACCCATTTAGAAGCGGAAGTACCTGACGAAGTACGCGGTACTAGGATGGCAATAATGCGAATGGACGTTTGTTACCTTCTTCGATCCATTTCGTCCAGAGTCCCGCGACAAACATGCACGTCGCCATACAAAACGTGCTGACGAAGATCAGGCTTCTTCTTCGGAATTTCTTCAGGATCAAGATACTGACGAACGACATTACCAATCGCACCAGCCCGATCATTATAGATGCCAAGTATCCGTTGCCGGTACTGCCGGCAGCCTGATCACGGTAAGTAGTTAGATAGTAGAAAGTTTGCGTTTTATTTTGAAAGCGATTTGACAATTTCTCGTTATCGTTACCGAAACGTGGCGGAACCTAACGGATGGAAGGCGAAGCTATAGCGAGAACCGAACGCATGCGTAGTGCCTTTTTTTGGCAGGTGATATCAACATAACCTATTTCTTGTGGAGGTTTGTTTTGAACTTTTTTAATGTTTTATGATTTTCGCCATGGCATCGTTTCACGGATGAGTACGATGTTAGTTTATTATAAAGAAAATTGCCTAAAGCTGACCGTGTAAAAAAGAACCCTTCATCTTTTTAACCAAATGGAAAGCTCTTCCAGGCAATAATGGCTGCTTTCTCTTATCACCTAATTGCTTCAACCAATTTTCGTAAATGTTTTTTTTTTTCAAATTGGAAATTAAATTGGCATACAGTATTATTATAGAGGACGCCTGTTTGTTTCTAATAGGGTTCTAAGTGTGAGTTCCATTCTAAAGCTTTATTGAATTCGTTTGCCACATTTATAATTAATAATTCCAGTTTCAAAAACATTGAAATTGCTTTTGAAATTTTGCTATTGACTATTAAAATTGGTCCATTTCTTAATTTTGATGTATTGAGAGCTCTTTTGCGTTGGACTTATGTTGCGTTAATGTTCTTTGTGTTTTCGGTGTTAGTACTTTGGAAGGTATGCAAAAAACGAAGTTCTTAAGTTTCCCAACCTTGCTTTATCTCTAGTACGTTGGACAGTCAACAATCCTCTAACAAACTCTTCCTACTAGAGCAATTTTCATAAACAAAATATTACACCTCCGAGAGAAGAACATTATCGAAGACCTTTCAATAAAAACAATCTTTACAATAATAATAAAATAAAAAATGAAAATAAATCAAAGGTAAAAAGGGAATGCGAATATTTTAAACAATGGCGTTACCTCGATAAATGAAATAGAGTAGAACATGGTGATGTAGATGCCCGAAAAATGTTGGAAGAAGAACAGTCCGGTCAGTATAATCAGTGGCTTATATCCCGTCGGTTTCATGAACTCGTGGATTATAAATTTCGCTCCTTTCTTGCCGCTGTTTTCCTCCCGCTCGCGTTTCTTCCTTTTTTGTTCTTCGTCGAGCGCGACGAACTGCAGTTCGGCAAACGACTCGGTCTGGAATGTTGTGTGTTGGTGAATATAACAGGGTCGTTACTTGGTAATATACCTTGGGTCCCGGTTTGGGTTGGTATTTGTGCAACCATTGGAGGGATTTCCTCGCCGCTTCCGTCTTCCCTTTCAAGATTAGCCAGGACGGGCTCTCGTGAAGTACAATGCAAGCCAGGCAAGGCAGCACGATGAAAACGTTGCAGATCCAGGCGAGGGTGCGCCAGTGGAAGTACCAGCCCCCCAAATATGTGAAAACCATTCCTAAAAGATTAATACGCCTCTCAATTCGATTCTATTTTTCAGTGTACTCTTTTGGTAATTAGTAGATTGTTTCTTGTTCTTTCATTCTTTTTGAACTTTCATTTAAAAAAGAAGACGAAAAAATATTAGCTTAATTTAAATAAGGGGTAGGATTTTGTAACACGAAATGGAAATACGTACCTAAAGCGACATACGTCGGTGCTATGGCCATCAGAGACATCCTCAGATGGACGCTGGCGATCTCCGTGATGTAAACAATACCGGGGCTCGTACCCCAGGCTGGGAAATGATTTAATTTAGTTTCGGCGCATGCGCCGGTCGACGCGCAGCGACATATTCACCTGACGAGATGCCGACGAGAAATCGTCCGAGTATGATCATCGGGACGTCATGCGCTAACGCTATGATTGTCCATCCGATGACGCCGGGTATGCCGGCTATTTTAATGGAATTAAGTCGACCCAGCTGGTCCATGATAAAGCCACATATTAGAGAGGCCGGCGGCGCCACCACGATCAAAACGCTGGCTATAAAATAAAAGAAAACCGGTAACTTCCTTCAGTGGCGCCATAAGCCAGTAAACAAATTTCAAACGTCAAATGTTTCCATTTTTGACCAAATAAAACCTCTTGTGAATAGTGTCTCATTGAAAATATCGGAAAATTCTTTGTCTGCGTGTGTTTAGAGGCAGTGGCCTATGATATTCCATTTCCAAAATACCCGTTTGTTAGGTTAAAATGTTTTTTAATAGCAAGACGATAAAGGTTTGACATGAAAATTACGATTTAGTTGTAACAACGTACGTTGATATGCATAACGAACTGTAAGTACCATAAACAATTCCTTATCCATATAATTTATAATTTAAGGGTCAGTGGAAAAAAATTAATTTTCCGATATATAATCGCGGGCTTATCACTGCGAAAGGCTGCAAAGGAAACAGTGTTAACTAAAAGTACAGCTAGAAACTTTGAGACACGTCGTTTTCTAATTCTTAATTTTATAGACTACTATCTAAAATGTTCGCAGATTTTTTTTACCTATCCATGAATTCTCCCAATCAGTAGATTTGATCGGGCTCTCTGGTTGAGCCAGTTGGTCTATTAATACCGCCGAATAGGCCAACGAGATTCCGTTGCCCACGTGGAACGAGGCTGCCAGCAATGCCGCCAGTATCTAAAATATTAAATGGTATTTTATAAATTGCCAATCGATAAGACTACAACACAATAAATCTTTGTTTGAAAAATATTTATATTTCTTGATTATATAATCATATAATTTATTTGGTGAAACTGGCACCCATCCTGATACTGAATCGATATTTTCTTCGATTGAATTCGAATAAAGATACCTTTTTTTGTAACCTTGTCCGCTGCGCTGTGAAATGTAAGATATTCATTCCAAATATTCTTTAAAGATGCCGATGACATGCTAGCCAGATAAAAACTATCCACTTATTACAAACAACACGCACCATAAACAGGAATACTCTAACTAACCGAAAGCTAGCTATTCAAACAGACCAGGGTTGTATTAAATTACAACAAACACGATTTTAATTGAAAAAGAGATCGTGTTTCCGGTTTCCGGTTCACATCTACCAATAGCATTAAACAAAGATTTAATTAAATTCATTAAATTAAATATTTGTTGATAGCACAAGCCGGTTAATATATACGCGAGTGATTTAAAGCTACACGTTAGGTCAGTGCAGTTTAATTATATTATTTTGTGGAGCAAACCTGGTCGCGCCATCTTCATTCTAATGGTCAAATGAATTTTCATGGAGCAAAAAGCCGCCGACAGACAGAACCGCTGTGTTGTTGTTTCTTGGTTGTAAATGTAGTTTTGCATCAATTTAATTTTCTGTGAAAACGAGTGTTTTTGAACCAGAGCTAATTCGAGAACTTTTACCTGTGGGAATATGCTTTTGAAACTTCTGCTCTCGTAGGCGCTTAACGATTTACTGCTGGACACCAACTCTCTGAGCTCCCCTTGACTCGCGTTCCCGTACTTTCTCTCCAAGTTCTTGGAGCTCGGTTGACTATCGGCATTGCTAGGAGTCGTATTAGTCGATTTTTCGTAGATTACTCAAAAATACTTACTGCAAACTCAGGCAGCTGGAACTGAAATCAAAAAGACGGCTTTAATTACGATTGGTAAATCTTACTGGAAGTACAAAGTTTTACACCCAGTTTACGTGTATCTAATTTGGAAATTTTGAATATAAACTTGGTTTACACTTCGTGCTATAGCACTTTATTTTTAGTGCTTCATGTATAAGGCGATCAAAAAACATAATTTATAAATAAAGCGATTTTTTTTAAACCTGCACCTGTAATGTACTATCGAAGAGGCAAGCAGAATTATTGGAAAACACTGTTGAGGAAATTGAGCTTTCGATTAATTTCTCAACCAGACGCTTTCTCGTTATGAAATTGTTCCATTCGGTTTGGATCCTAACAAGAAAAATTAATTGTTTTTTCTTCTCTTTTTTTCCATCTCTTTAAATCCTAAACTAACCTATAAAACCTTCTAATTTTTGCCTCGTATTTTCATCTTAAATTTCCTTCAAGTTTTCATTTTCGTCAAATAAAAAAACTTAAAATTTAGAATTGTTTGAAGTGAAAGTCTTTGTTTTGTTAACGTCTCCTTTGATTTGTTTTCTAAAACGTGGGGAAGAATACAACAAGCTGACGTCACAGATACAAATTTTTTTTGGTATACGTAACCCGGAAGCGCTTATTTCGCGCATGTATTTTGAAAAATCGAAGAAAAAAATCTTACCCCACACCTTCCATGGCGGCGAAGAAGCGATGCACGACGCACAAAATTTTGTACCGGCCTTAACCTGTCGGTAAAACGGACCCGGGCTCACTCACGCGCGCTCCATGTCGCGTCAAAAATTATTTATAACGACAGATCGCTATCAGCGTTTTTTAGTTTTATCGTCGATTGATTTTTCGCGTATCAGCGGTTATGTGAAAAATTATTTCTCGAGTGTCGTAAACGTGGTTGCACTTTCAACGGGTATGTTTTAGTTTGCACTAGAAAATCAATTAATTATCATTCCCGATCCAATCTATTCGATATCCAAAGTGCTAGGCACTTAGACAGCCAACATCACACGTTGGTCCGTTCCGTGCGACGCTAGCTATTACAAAGTGTAGCTTAAAAGAATAACATAAAACACTAGAAAAGTTCAACATTACTATTTACAAAACTTCTGGATTCCTCCTGCTTTGGTTGTCGAACTTGCTAACGTTTCGACAATCATCTTGTTGGCTTCTTCAGCGTTTAACTGAAAATGGCTCGCATTTTATTCTGTAGTGGCTTATATATTGTTTGAGGGGCTAAAGGAGGGGCATAAACATCGTCTCGGATGACTGATTCCGATATTGGTGACAGGTATATTCTGTTCATAGATATAAAAAAGTGACCAACAGCTTTTGAATGGGATTATCCAAGGGTGGTCATTAACATACAATGCAACAAGATTATTACGTAAAATTTCGGAATTTAAATTCAGGTAAAATGGTGGTCCGTAATAGAAAATAATTTTATACCTACCTGTGTTTAATATTCT